CCCTGGTTACTTGTGAAGCTGAGAGTTTCACTAGTTTGTTTTCTAAGTTGTTGGATTTTGAACGCTTTGCTTGTTTTTAGATTTTCTTTTCTCTTAGTAAATAAGATTTATTTAACATAGATTGTTTGCTGCATGTTATTACAAATATTTTATCCTAATGCTGGGCTTTTGATTTTGCACATAGGGCCTTTCACTGTAAAGGAGTTGGTTTATCCTACATGGCTTTTAGATTAAGAATTTTGGTTGGGGGCTAAAGAGATGACTTAATGGTTAAGAGAATGTTGCATACTGCTCTTACAGAAGACATGAGTTTAGTTCCCAGCACCCATCTCCCAAACTGGCTGTAACTCCAGTTCCAAGAGCCTCTGGCCTCCATATGCACCTGCATTCATATGCATGTACCCATACATAGTCACACACACACACACACACACACACACACACACACACACAAAATTAAAAATTAAATTGCATTAAAATAAGAATCTTGCTTGTGAAGACCTCTTACCTAAATTTTGTAATATTATTCATGTACATTTTCTCTTTATGTATTTTTTGTAATGTGTCAATCATCCATTCATTAGCAGTGTGGGAAGTGAGGGACTGACTGTCTTACTGAGGAAGCTGCTAGTAGTTATCCTTGGTCTTGTTTTTAATTCATATTTCATCATTCGTGTTCTCCATCCAAAATCTATATCTGCAGATGTCCTATATCTCCTATATCTTCCAGGACCCTCAGATCATCAAGGGAGCTCTCTCCCAAGACTGGGGGTAAGTTGGGCTGTTTTGCCCTGTCCTATAGGGGCAGTAATAGGAACCTTTCAACTTTAATGAAGGGAGTATGCTTCTATATCTGTTCTTTCCAGTTCCTCCCTAAAAGCCTTCCATTTTCTTCAAAGAGTTCTGTATCTATTTCCATCTAGAGTGTATTATTTTGGTACTTTGGTGAATGAAATAATTTTTAATCATCAGCTTTTCTAATTATCCTGGTCCCAGTGAGAGAGGTGGTGGCTGCAGCTGCTCCCAGATGACATCCTTATTGAATGTTCACCTTGGTTCTAATTGATCATCCTTCATTTTATCTGTAACTAACAATGATTTTTTTTCAAAATCTGTTTTCCTATTCAACATTTCCTTTGCATTTCTGTTTATTGTTTCGTCACGTGATCTTTGGTCCCTGGGACTGTTAGGGCTTGTAATGTGTGGGTTTGCTGCCCCTGATGCAGTGATGATGGCCTGGCTTTCCTCATTATTTGTGCTACTGGCCTGCTGGAATTTTCTGGCCTATATCACATATAAGGTTAAGGCTGTGCCTTATTTCATATTTTATGACCCAGATCCTTAAGCAAGAAGATTTATTTATTTTCTCTTACCAACTGTGCTTTTGATTTTAGATTTATTCTTCTAGACATATTTCTCTTTAAAAAAATGATAAAAGGGCTAGAGAGTTGGCTCAGCGGTTAAGAGCACTGACTGCTCTTGCAGAGGACCCAGATTCGATTCCCAGCACCCACATGGCAGCTACAAACCGTCCTTAACTCCAGTTCCAGGGGAATCCGAAGCCCTCTTCTGACCTCCGTGGCATTGCACAACATGGGTGCACTCACATACATGCAGGCAATACACTCATATGCATAAAATAAAAATAATAAATAAAATATAAAAAAATAAATGATAAAATAAGGCTAGAGAGATGGCTCAATTAGTAAAATGCTTGCACTGCAAGTACATGAGTAGGGAACCCCAGCACTCACGTGAAAAGACGGGCATGAGACAGTCGTGAAGTGATGTGGAGGTGCTTCTCTCTCCCACTTCTCCTTTTATTTACTTATTAGAATGGCATGAGTAGGTTTTATATTGTATATGTGCTTGTGTGCGCACATGTGTGCACTTGTATATGGAGGCCGGATGTTGATATTGTGTGGCTTTCCACAACCTCTTCACATTCTATTTTTTGAGACAGGGTCTCTCACTGAATCTGAACTTGCCCATTCAACTAGGCTGCCTGGCCAGTGGACTTCAGGGTTTTAGTGGGTTCTATCCCCTCACATGCTGCCTCACTTTTTTCATGGGTTCTGGGATCCAAACTCAGTTCCTCAGGCTTGTATAGCAGGTATTTTACCAATGGAGTCATCTCCCCAGACCACCTCTCTCTTTGTTTTAAAGGCACTGGTGAGTAAATCCAGAGCCTCAATACAGGCTAAGTAACTGTACTACCATTGAGCCACGTCCCAGTATTTAACTGTTGGTTCACTTTAAAGCTGTTCACAGGTTCTAGCTATCGAATTCTGAAATTTCACAATTCATTTTTAGAATTTTGCCCCTTTTTTTCCATTCTATTTTATCCACATATTTAATTTTTCTTCACAAGTGCCTTCCTCTGTGAAAACACAGTAGTCTCTTCTTTCATTTCAATATGGATTTGTTTTTTGGTTAAAGGTGTTCTCTTCCCCTTTCAAGAAGGCCTGGGCTTCCCTCTAGTCAAATAGGCTAAATATCTTTGTTGTGAAAGTTGGCATTTGTTGACTGTCTAAATAATCACTGTTATAACTCTAAATATTTAGTGTGTGAAAGCTAGACAGAATGAAAACTTTATGTTAGCTCAGGAATTTTTGGAAGATATCACAGATACTAAACAGGGATCAAGAGATACTTTGCCTCTAGAAAATCTTGGAACTAAGCTAACATACCTGTTTTTGTCTGGGTTACTATATTCTTTAAGATCATAAGTTTTTGTCACTTTGAGCTATAAGACTGCATGAAATGTGTTCCCTTGACTGATAAAGACAGATGGATGGATTCCATCTGGACTCTGTAGGTGCCTGTCTGGCAGGATGGTCAAGGTCAGTCCACGACCAGGACATACTGGTCTGCTTTGGGACTTTGCCAGTGCCTGCTGTAGATGCTGTCTGGGGTCATGGTAAACAATGCCTGGGAAGGGTATTTGTACAGGCTCTGTGGGGCTATTGACCAGTCCTGAGGTTATCATGTATCTTACTCTTTTAATTTTATCAAGCTTAGAAGTATATTGTGTTTGTTTTTTCAAACTGCAAAGTTTGACATCTGTTTTCTTGAAAATGGACAAAAATGGTCAATGTGGTGACCTTCTCAACATTTTTTATTTTATCTTAATTAGAGATCAATTTATTGTGTCTACACATACATTTTTTTTTGGTCTTTTTGAGATAGGATCTCCCTGTAGCCCCAGCTGTCCTGGAACTCACTATGTAGACCTACACATACTTAAAAAGCAAGTCTATGGAGTATATGGTCTAAGTCCGAAAGAGATAGGTGGCAGAGGCATTGGGAACTGACTCTGGGGCCGTTCAGATCAGAACCTAAAGAAAGATTAGGTCCTCTACAGGTGGACCCCTCTGAATATGAGAATTAGTGATCCACAAGCTGTCTTTCTGGTGGCCTAGAATCCGTTTCCTGTGGTTTTACCCACTGATATTTCAAAACTTAAAATTATTTGACTTCACACCAACTTAAAAACAAATTGTGTTCAACTTAGATGCTAGACTTCTTTGAGACATTTAAGACAATAAAATGCCATTGTGTATACAGGTGATATTGAGCTTTGAGAAGTCAAATCATCTTATATCACACAACTCCCATTTGGGACCTAGAAAGATCAATGTCCACTTTAAACATCAAGCACACAGCCTGTAGGTGGCTAACTTTGCATCTGATAACAGGACTGTTTGCTGCCTTAGTTACATTGAGTATCTGTTTAATGTTTACTTATGATTGGATCTTGTCCCCAGTCTTTGTATGTATTAATTATTTTAAACTTAAAAACTATATAATTCTTTTTTGTAATTAGGGACACTGAAATTCAGTGAGTCCAATAATTTGCCCAAATGTAAGCTGCTCAGTTAGGGTTAGTGTCAGGAAATGAATTAGGGGTCTTTGGTTCCCAAGCCTGGATTCTTAGCAGCATGCCCAGTGGGACCTAATGGCAGGGAAGAAGCAGGGAAGACCCTGTTTTCACACTTTAATGATTAGGAAAACATTGTTGATATATCCTTCATTGAATTGCCTATTCAGAGCACCCACATCATAGTTGAATCAGTGGGAACACAAAAAGCAGCAACCATGAGTCTGATTGTACCTTTACTCCATGCTGTCCACCCTACCGAGTTAGTTACTGTGTGTGTTTCCTGTGACAGTGTTAAAATCTAATGCATCCTAGTGCAGTTTACTAAAATCCACAGTGAGGTGGGCTTTATCTCCAGGACCCTGCAGAGGACTCATGGTTCAAGAGGGGGTTGAGTTGCCCATTTCCCTGCAAAGCCATTTCCTGCAAGGGAAGGGTTTGTCATGATCCTCCTCATGCTCATATCAGTGCCTTGGGCTATTGGTATTCAGGTCTTGAGTATGTAAATCAAAGTGAATCCTAGGGGCTAGGAGTTGAACTACAAACCTCCCTGTCCTGAAGTCCTCCTGATAGGGAGTTCATGGACCACTTAGAATTCTCTGTTCTCTTCATTTTCTGCAAGGCTCTCCTAATAATGACAGCAGGCCATCGCCTGGTGCCTAGTCTGAGATGCATGCACATCTGTGGGGTGGATTGAGGATATGGGTGGAGCCTGGGAGGAGTCTGTGAAAGGAAAGATGTGGACTATTTTTTGATTTGGGCTCAAAACTTAAATTCAGGGTAATCTTTGGCCTCTTAGGAAAGCAGAGTTATATGGGCTCCACATTCTACATGCCTCGAAAGTCGCTTGCTTTGGGGATTAGAGAGAAACCCAGGCAGTGAGCTAGGAGCCTCTGGTGTATTTAGGCATCTGTCCCTAAAATTAGTAGACATGGCAATGGTAACCTACTTCTGTGGATTTACTACCATTGTTTTGCTCTTGGCAAGTTTCTAAACAACCTCCTTGAAAATGTATTCTTTTATATCATTAGCAGTTTTTAGTCCTGGATACATTCAGAGTGTGCATTCAGGTCTGTATAAGTTCAAAACAAGTTCAACAATGGCTACTTTGATTTTCCAGTTTTGGAGCTGACCAGTATGCTGAGTGGAAGAGGACAGCTAAGAGGAGCAGTGGCCCAGTAACCAGTGCGGCCCTCACTTCGACCCCCGGTGAAGTCTGGGACGGTAAAGTCCGGGTAGCCACCTGGACAGACAGAATCACTGAGTTGCTACCTGTAATACGTAAGTCCTGTATATTTTCACCCATATATAAATAGAGCCTTTCTTTGCAGGAGAGTCTTCTATTAAATATTGATTAAGGCAAGGTCAATAGATGTATTTCACTGTCAGCAGAGGCTGACACTAGATCCTTTATTTCAGGGTTTCCAAAGGTGTCTCCCATCTGTCCCTGTTCTTTCACTCCTCTTGGGCTGTCTCCTCCGTGGGGTCACTGAGCTACATTGATGGCAGTGGGCAGTAGGCAGCAGAAGAAGGGACTTGGGCTGCATTGTGGATCATATTCTGCAGACAGGCCACTACACATTGTAGGTCTTCTCTGTTCATCTGTAAGGCTTGCTGCGTTAGTTGTTCTGGGCACCTATTGCCTGGTGAGCTAGAGCCATTTTACTTTGTGAAGGTGAGCTAGCACAAGATGAGAGTCTTGATGACTGGCTTGTTTTCCAAATGGGATGTGTGGTTGCCCTGACTTTGAGCACAGGAGGGCCTGCTGGACCCTCTGTCCCAGGGGGAGAATGACTGTCAAAAAGAATATTAGCGACAGCTCCTGAAACAAACCACAGATGGAAAGCCTAAACAGCAGAATTTTTTTGGGGGGGTCACTTTTGGCTTTTTGAGACAGGGTCTCCCTATAGCTTAGCTGGTCTGGAACTCACCAGACCAGGTTGGCCTCAATTTCACATAGATCCACTTGTCCCTGCCTCCCAAGTTCTTAGATTAAAGGTGTGCCACCACCACTACCACCATGCCCAGCTTCCCCCCGCCCCATGCACTATTTTTTTTCTTTTAGAAGACCATTTTTTTGTGTCATACCCTTAGATGCTGGAAGTCCATTCTGAAGTCATCAGTAGGACTGGTCTCTCCTGTGGCTTCTCTGTCCTTTGGTTTGCCCATGGAGTCTTCACATGGTTATCCCTCTACACAACAGGGATGTGTTTTTACTTCCTCTTATATGGATATGACATATAAGTCCTATTGGACCAGGGCCACCCTAATGACCTCACTGTGACTTTGGTACCTCTTTAATGACCTACCTCCAAATACAGTCACATCTTAAGGTATTGGGGAGTAAGACTTCAACATATGAATGTTCTAGGAATACAGGTTAGCCTATCACAGAGAGGAGCCAGATAAGAGGCGCTTATGGGAGATTGAGGAAATGAATTTCATCAGTCTACCACAGCCCTTGGTAGAACATTCTGAGCTTTCCCTTCCTTACCATGTCTAGCCTTATGGGAGGTGCTGAATCATTTTACACAGCTTTTCTAAACTCCATATGTGCACAGCTAGATGTTTCTAGCTTCTCTTCGGACAGCTAATAGTCAAGCTTGAGAGTTCGTAGAGCTCTGGGTACTGGGACAATGGGGCTGAGCACGCCACTGGCTCCTACCAAAGTCACCCCTGGGGGTGAATGGCTAGTCACACATGCCTCAAACTGTCACGGCTCTCCTGGTTAGAGAGAGTAGGGTGTGACTGACTATTTTTTTATACAACAGAGGCCCTTACTCTCTTCCTCACAGCACAGTTGAGTATGGGTACTAGGGTTTCAGTGTCAGAGGCCCAGGGCACAGGTACAAGGTAGCCATGTCCTGGTCTTACCTTTGAGCTGCGTGTTGTAGATGGTAGCCTATAATGCCTGCAGTCATTAGCAGTTGTGCACCCAGAGAGGGTGACCCCAAGATGGTGGGCCAGAACTGTTGTTATGGTGTCCAGGTGGTAAAAGCCCCCTTGGACCTGCCTGCCCCTAAATACTGCCAGAAAGCGTTTTTCCACAACACGAATTTACTTGAGGTGTAGGACTATTTTTATTCCTGGCATGCCTTTGCGGGGTTGAAGAGACACATCTGAAACAGGCAGAGGGCCATCTCTAACAGATCCTGGTCCTACTCAGATCATCTGACCAAGTTGCATCTCCTGTGTTTTTCTTTTCTGATTACATCATTCAAATGGAGTGCTCCTCAAAGCCTCTGAATTCCGATAGCCTGATTGGAACTGCTTGATGTGGACACAGCATGGAAATGAAGACTCATTTCACAGCTGATGTTTCTGGCTTGAAATGAAGTTATCAAAAGCAGCTTAAGGAATGGTAGGGAAGGCCTTGGTACTGTGGCAAACCTCAACTTTTATCTGGGCTTTAGGAGCAAGGTCTGCAAATACCTATTGCCATGTTGATTTCATTTGATTTTTTTTTTCTGGTACTGGGGATTGAACCCAAGCCACACACATACTAATAAAGCACTCAACCTCTGGGCTATAACCTGAGCCCCATTGTTCTGTTTGACAACTTTGAGCCCTAATAGGCATCAGTGAGTAATGAATAGGGTATGCTCCACCAAAGATTACTCTGAGGAAGCAATTTCCAGACATTTTTAACCACAAAATTTGTTTTGAGCCAATCTGGCCTTGAACTTACTGCATAGTCAAAGATAGCCTTCACTCCTTATCATCTCATGTCTACCTCTTGAATGCTAGAATTACAGGCATGTGCCATCATGCCCAGCTTACAAAAACCTTTCTTAGGGTCTTGGAAGTTTGAACAAACTCCTGTATTGGTCAAGTGAATCTGTGCTTCTCTGACTGAGCTGGGAGCTTGGGTTCTGGGACATGACAAGGCATTGGACTTAAGAATGCTCCTTTTCTTCACTGTGCTCAGTGAAACAGCTCTGACTGTAAGACTCTCTTAGTGTGAGTCCAAGATAGAAAGTCTTAGACTTTAGAAAAGCTAGTTTATGTTGGTTTGTCTGCACTTCCTGGCTACACGCTACACCTCATTCTTGGCCAGACAGTTCTAAAACAGTGTGATGGGGTCATGGCTATAGCAGGAGGTGATGGTCTGTAAGCTCTGTGCTGTAGAACACATATCTTTACCAAGGAAGTGCCAACCCACCAGGGGCACTGGAAGGTCTTCTCAGCATCCCTGAGCCCATATGGTAAGGGATGGAGCTGACCTGAAACTAGACTCCATTGGCCTTGGGTATACTTTGAGTGCATTTGAAACTGTCAGTGGATTTGTTCTCACTTTCCCAACTTTTTCATATTTGTTCTATGTGTTCATAGTGAGTGCCCACTTGGTACAGGGCACTGTTTTGGGTTCCACAGTCCCTTTGTACTCAGGGCATACTTTTAGTAGAAAGATACGATGTTAAGAACTTGTGCTTTCTTTGACCTAATGATTGAAGCTCAGTCCCCTGTGTTTCAGTAAGATGTGAAACAGAATCGGGGTGTGTGAGAGGAACAGATTGCTGTGAGCCAGGAATGGCTTTGCAGTGTCAGACCAGGGCATCTGGGCTTGGTATGGGCAAGGCACGTGGCTTGAACTGAGATGTCCCTTGGAGGCTCATGTGTTGGAGGCTTGGCTTAGTTTGACTGTCAGCTGGTGGACTTTTGGGAAGTGATTAGATCCTGAGAGTTCTGACTTAATGATTACTCCCTTAATGTATTTATAGTGTTCATAACAAGTGGGGCTTACTTGGAGGAAGTAGGTCATGGAAGCTATGCCCTAGAAAGGTATATCTTGTCCCCAGCCTCTTCCTGTCTCACTGTTTCTTAGCCACCACGAAGTGAACTAGCAGCCTACTCTGGCACATACTCTTGCTGCCTTACTGAAGGTCCACTGGAATGGAGGCAGCCAACCATGAACTCATACCAGAAGCCAAAAACAAAACAAACAAACAAAATACCTTTCCTTCTCTATACTCGTTCTCTTAGATGTTTCTCACAGTGATGAACAATCTAACACAGTGGGAGCCAAGGTCCAGAGTGATGATGCCTGGGACAGTTGGGCATTAGAGAAGCCTTTCTGTTTTTCTCTTCTGTTCACTGTAGCTTAAGACCTAACACAGTTTTGGGGTTGTAGTAGGAAGTGAGAAAAGATATAGTAGTCCTCTTTTGTCTGGATTTCACTTAACCACAATTTCACTTACTGGTAGTCAACTGTGGCCTGAAAATGCAGTACAGTAAAATATTTTCAGAGCCCACTTTAGTATAACTTTCATTACAATATATTGTTATAATCTGTTTTTCTGTTAGTTACTGTGATGAATTTACTGTGTTTCCTTTATAAATTAAAGCTTATCATAGGCATGTATAGGAGACAACAGTATATTGTTGTCTGTCTGCTACATCATGCATCTGCAAAGAGTCTTGGAACATCTTCTCTGAATAAGGGAAATCTCTGTTCTACTACAAAGATGATTTTAATCATTCTATTTCTGTACTCCTGCTCTTTGACCCAGAGGCCTCAAGGTACTTTCTCTTCCAGCCATCAACCCCTTTGAGTACACAGCTTAGTTCACTGTCTCCATTTTAGCTGCTTGTTTTGGTACTAAAGAATCTATAGGAGTTGATTTGGCTTCATAACATGACATCCCCAAGCTTAGTGTCCACTGAGCAGCTTCTTTACTGTGTGGCTCTGCCTTGGGAAGGGCACTTCCTGCTCATGGCTGTGGGGACAGGCTACCCACATGGTACAGCTCTCATTTGTAGTTGGAGGTGAGTCCTATTGCCCTGCTTACCCCAGAGATATAGTTAGAGGAGGTTTTGTTATACTATAATTGTTCTTATTGGCTAAGGGGAGGGATCATTTCTCTGCTCAGCTGCATTGATTAGTATGGTTCTTTTCCCATTCATAATATATTTTGATTGTCTTAGAATCTAACTAAAATAATGACTTCTACCTTTTACTTTCCAAGGTCAGAAAGTCATAATCAGGGCACCATATAACCATTCTAGTCTATACCTCAGATAGTTGTGAGCCAGGCTTTGAGAAATTCTCACATACCCTGGTACTAAGCCTTCCTGCCTTTCTTGACATCTTCTTGTCTTTTGGCCTCTTTTTAACAGTGAACTTTTCTCCAACTCCTGTTGATTCTTTATTATTGTAACCCTTAGTCCTTCATACACACACCTCTTTAACTGTGTGTCTGCTGACCACTGCACATGAAAAGCATTCTCCCCTTTTTTTGGTGGACTTGTTTTCTCTTGTGGAGTTCCCTTATTGTTTCCTC